TCTGTGCAACACAGAGAAGACAAGTAGTGATTTTACAGCATCTTACTATGTTGATGGACAGTGACTGTGAACGGGTATGTGGGGGGGACTTGGTGAGGGGGGTAGCCTAGTGAACATAATGTCCTTCATGTAATTGTAGATTAATGATACCAAAATAAAATTAAAAAAACAAAAACAAAAACAAACAAAAGACAATGTGCCATAGAGCAAAGTCCCATCTTACAATGGAAGGCGGTACATGCAAAAGCAAATTCAAGCATGGTCAAAATTATCTGAGGAAGTGGTAAATATCCCAGAGAGAACATTTTTCTTCTATGATTTCTTTGTTTAGGGAGAGGCTGTTCCAGCTCTTTATCAGCAGATGTAACTTTGCCAACCGTACACATTTTTTCAGATAAGTAATTAATTAAATCTGTTAACCACCCTTGGAGGGCTTTCAGCTATCAGAAGATCATCCCTCTGTGGTGCTGGGTTTCAGTTTTTTTTTTGAATTCTGCCATTGATAAGTATGTCTTTCGAGCTGAAGTCTTTCAGTCTCTCTAAAATCTTATCACATACTTGGCTAATCACCAAGCAGCGACTAGAACACATCTTGGTGCCACAGGTTGCTGACGCTCATGCTGATGGCATAAATACTGGATTCTCTGTGACCACACCTCTAACTGGGATCTCCCACTGAGTCCTGCAGGCCAATTTTTCCTGCAGTGTAGCCATAGCTCATTGTTTCTTCATTAATCATCCAGTGAAGTAGTTTAGGGGCTAAACTACTCCAAAGTACATATGTATGAAAAATATGCATTTTTGAACACTAGACTCACATGTGTTGTGCTGAGACCACTGAAGGGATTGAGGTATGCCAGGCTCCCACCCACTTCAGGCCATTCCTAAGTCAGATGCTCCTATATTAGAATGGCAGAAAGTGCCTACAATATTTAAATAGCTACTCTTCTACTTTCATTTTTGCAGTTCAAGGATGCTTAAACTCTTACAAGTTAAACGTGTATGGAATGACTCCATTGTGTCTATTATTTTCTACAAATGCTTTCCATAGAGTTTTAACAAAGTCTTCCTCTAAAACACAAAACTAAATTGTTTGATTGACATCTGTTACTGCCAGTGGTAAAAGATATCATTTCTGTAAATTACACCATAGAAAACCCTAAGAAGACTGTCATGTCAAAACTCTGGTTTTTAAGAGGATAAAATCATAGGCAGAATGAAACTAGGTGGAACTCAAAAAAGGTAGTATCCGTTTGTATCAACTGTGCTACCAGCAAGAACCAAAAAGCCCCTGACTGCTTCATAATTACTGTTTTGTTCAATCCTTTTCTTAACAACAAATGGAGCCAGGAAACTTGTCTTCTAAATGTTATGATTTAGAACCCAACATGCATTAAAAGAACATCATAAATAATGAAACATGACTCTAAGCCAACATGGGGATTTGCCCTTGGAGAACATTTCCTTGTGAAAAAAAAATCAATGCATTCTAATAAAGATAAAAATCCTTGACAATGAGAGCTATACCACGGAGTAATACCCACTAAAGCATACATAGTGATTATTAACTTAATTTCTGTTCAATCTGAAGCACCAGCAATATTCATTTAGATCACGGGTTTTATATAGTGTTTAACTTTTTGCTCTTAAAAGCTGGAGACAGAAACAAAAACTCTTAAACCTCACATAGTTTTCCCAGCAATCCTTGAGGACTTTCTCTCCTTTTCAACTTAATATTTTACTAATGAAAAGCAAACATCTAGAACAGGGGTCAACATTCTGCAGCCTGTGGGACAAATCCAGACTGTCACCTATTTTGTAAATAAAGTTTTATTGGGACACAGCCACACTTATTTGTTTACATCTCGTCTATGGCTTTTTTCCTGCAAAGGCAGGTTGCCTGCAAGTGACAGAGACCACGTGTCTCCCAAGGTGAAAATATTTACTATCTGGCCGTTTCCAGAAAAAGTTAGTCTATCCCTGATCTAGAATTTATTTCTATCACTTATAATTCTCATCATTTGGAATGTCGTCCACTCCATTTACCAAATCTCTGAAATCTTGAAATAGAAGCATGGTTTATTTTTTTAGACTGTTTTCAAGTTCTCCTTTCCAAGGGTTAATAGGTATCTAAGGCCTTGATGTTAGTTAATTAACAAGTTCCTGAGAGGCCACCTTCTCCACAACTCAGCCCAGGCCTACAGTGAATGGAAATTACAAATTCAAGTGTACTTACTCACCATTCAGCAGAAATGTATTAAGGGGTCAAAAGGCACAAACCTATTATAAAATAAACAAGTCCTGGGGGTTGTAATATGCAGCTGGGAGACTGGAGTTAAAAACACTGTATTGTATATTAGAAAGTTGCTAAGAGAGTAGATCTTAAAAGTTCTCATCACAAGAATAAAACATTTGTACCTAAGTAGGGTGACAGTTGTTAATAGACTTTTCTGATTTCATAATATACACATATAACAAATTACTATGTTGTACACCTAAAACTGCTACAGTGTTATATGTCAATCAGTATAACTGGGGGGAAGTTTTTTTCAATACAATCACAAGTTTCAAGACAACAAAGTATTCTATCCTGAAATGACCAAGTATGGAAGAGAACTAGAAATGTGTATTTCAGTATAAAAAAAATTGAAACAATTTGTCACATTTAAATGACTAACAGTCAAGAACTTTAGCTTACTCAAATTAATAAAAAGCAAAAACAAGTAAAAATGTATCAAGCAGTAAACATAATGTTCTTCATGTAATTGTAGATTAATAATAACAACAACAAAAATGTATCAAGCACCTGCTATGTGAAAACATAAGCTGCTGGCAGGAAGGGCGTGGGAGAAACAAAGGGGAACAAAATCCACCTCTGGCATTCTCAAGTGAGGCAGACCTGCACAGACACGACAGAATAGCAGGTAGTAAATGTAAGATGAATGCCAGACACCCCTGAAATGGTCCAGGGCATGTGGAAACACGGAGTCAGCAACTGGGAGAGAGAGATGAGGGAGTGATACCTGTGAGCTTCACTTCTAAATTCTCCAGCCTGGGAATGAGGGAATACATTGCTGAGGCTAAAGACCCAGAGCTCTGGGCAGCAGCCCTCAGGGGCTAAACAACTTGAAGAAGAAGCCTGACCCGCTCCTTTCACCCCTGCATATTAACACCAGCCGCTGGGTAGCCAGCCAAGCCCTAAGTGCACTGGAGGCACCAACGGTCAGCCACACAAACTACGCTTTCTCTGTCAAGTGGAGGAAAAAACCTCTGTTCTATTCTTCAGTTGAAGCTGTGAACAATATCCATTTTTGAGCAATATCCTTTTACATCTAGACATACATTTACTTCAAATTAAATACGTGTACGTGAATGTTCATTGCAACATTATTCAAAATAGCCAGAATGTGCAAACAACCTAAATATCCATCAGTTGCTGGATAATGAAAATGTGGTATATCCATTCACTGAATTATTATTCAGCCATAATAAGGAATGAAAAAAGACAGACTCTGTATTATGATTCCATTTATAGGAAATATCCAAAATACGCAGAGCGATTGAGACAGAAGCACGTAAGTGGTTGCCAAAGGCTGGGAAGGGAAATGGGGAATGACTCATTAGTATGGGGCTTCACTGTGGGTGCTGAAAATGTTCTGGAAGTAGTCAGAGGTGATGGTTGCACAGCTGTGCGAACATAGTGAATACCATTTAATGATACGCTTTTACGAATTTTATAGCGTGTCTCAAAGCTGTGATTAAACAGCACAGCTTGGGTTTGAAGGGAGAATACAGCCCTGCGAACCTTTCCCTCCTTAAGTAAGCCATAATCGTTTCAGATTGTAGTCTTGGGCTGGAGGCTCTTCTGGCCTCTGTACTGGATTTCTGCGAACAAACACACCCCTGGAGACGGCCCCACGGGATAAGTCCCACAACAAAACCCACAGCAAGGAACCGCCACGCCACGAGCGACACGAGGGGCGGAGTCGAGGAGCCGCGGAGTCCGGCGCAGTTACCAGGCAACAGCAGGGACTCTGCCCCCACACCGAACCAATCAAGCACGTCCGGAGCAACGCGAGAGCCCCACATACGCCAGGCGGAGCGTGACCTACGCGCACTGGACCCATCAGTGCCCCAGGCGACACGCCCCCCCCAGCCCACACCCAGCCAATGAGAAAGGAGAGGGATGCGCGTTTGTGCGTGCGACCGCTGCCCCCTCCGTTGGGGTTTCCCGCCCCACCCCCACACCTGGGGCCCGGTCTGCGGGAACCGGATTTGCGGCCCGCCGTGTGGGCTGGGAAGGGGGCGCCGCCCGCCATGCACCGGGACGGCTGGTCTCCCCGGGCCTTCCCTTCGCCAGGCCCGCGGGAGGAGAAAGTTCCAAGAAAAGCGGTTCTCAATGGCGGCTGCGGCGGGGGCGGGGTACGCACCTGAGGACCCCGCCAGCGGACAGCGTCCGGCCAGCCGTGGGCTCCGAGGACTGGGCCTCCGGGGAGCGGCCGGGGGCCGAGGGCGGCGGCCGGGCCGGCGAAGAGGCGGGGGCGCGGCGTGTGGGCGGCGGCCGTAACCCTGCTCGCCACTATCCCTCCTTTTTTCTTTCTCCCCCCCACCCCGCCTTTTTTTTTTTGGCTTCCTGGAAGGCAGCCTCTACTCGCGGGTCCGCAGCGCCCCCAGCGGGAGCTAACGTTTCCGGTGTGCTCGAACCGGGGAGGGCTGCGCACGGATTGGCGCGGAGGCTTTCAGCCCCTTTCAGACTTCAGTTCGACGTGCTGATCCCTGAGAAGTGTCTGGCCCGCATCCTGTCTCACCCCAAGATGCCGCCTCCGCATTGGGGGGCGCCCTTTCATGCTGCTATTTACTATGATGCTTTTGCATGATTGCAACTTTTAACTTTAAAGCCATAAGGTCATAACTCTAGTGACCAGTGAATCTGCCTTAAAGCCGTGAAGTTATTATGAACTCCATTGGTGTAAACAATATGTCTTAAACTTTTGATGGGGTCCGTGACGACAACCAGCCCTGCGCTGCCCATCAGCTGGCAGCAGCACTCTAGCAAATAGTCTAATGTTACAGTTAGATATTTAAGTATGCCGAAAGGAGAAGAGGATAATGGAAACCATTTGCCCGTTGCTCAGATTGATCATAGTATGCCTTATTTACTTCACATTTTTAAGAACTGTTACAGACACAATTAAAAGCACTGTTCTCATTCGTCTCCATTTACTCCCCAGAGGGAACTACTGTCTGGAAGTTAGTATATATGTTCCAATACACATTTTGCTTCACAAAAAAGTCTCAAATTTGTTGACTTTTTTTCTATAAATGGCTGTCAAAGATAACGTTTCCTAGTAGATGCTGTTAAAAAAAATTGCCCTTTCAACGTAAGGATTAACAATTCAACAATTGAAGAAGTACCTGCTTTCTCGTCATTTTTAAAAGAGATGTTTGAAAATACATACGTGGGTAAAATTGTAATGTTTCCAGAATATCTTGCCTGGCTTTAGTGCATCTGCATATTAACTGGGCATTCCTAAGGGGTGGAGACAGTAGTCATCTCCATATCAATGGGTAATTACCTGGGCGAAGGAGAGCTTATCTGAACCTGACAGGTTAGGGGGAGGTCTTCCTTCTGCAGGAGAAGGAAAGAGAAACGGTCCGGACCGCAGTTTCTAAGCAATAATCGGGTTTTAAACTATTTCTCCTTTTGACTGATTTCGGTTTTAGAGGTATTTTGCCTTTCCCGGGAGTTACAACATATGTTACAGTTGATTCTCCTTATATGGGAGAGTTATGTTCCATAAAGTCTTAGCGAACAGTGAGCAAAACTGAATCCTTGCTCCTAGAGGAAATACAAGGTATGGTTTCTCTAGCCTCTGGCCATGACTTTCTTGGGAAACTATTGAAAGGGTATCTTGCTGTGACCCTCCTTACTCCAGAACGTCTCAGGAGACACAGGCCCGCGCAAGAGATTTTATTATTTGAAAGAGAAAATGGCTGCCCTAGAGAGAGGAAGCAGCAGCTCGTGGGTGATGAAGCCCGTTTTTAAGGAGTAGGGGTAGGGTGTGTTCTACGTTGGTGATTGGATCTTAAGGGGTGGGCAACCACCTGGTCATTGGTGATTGGATCTTAAGGGATGGGGGTCTTAGCGTGCCAGAATTTGCCCTCATTCCCATGTTTTTCTTTTCTTAATTGGGCCTCTGGGAAAGTGGGCGTAGAATCTCATTCTCTAGCTACTTCTTGCTGGAAGGGGGTGCAGATTCTGGGGTTAGTGAGGCCATTGCTGTAAAGTTGGGGAAGGGCGGGCATCTTGAGATGATTCGTGATGTCATCTAGCTGGTTTTGTTATTCTTCCTGAGAAAGCCTTGATAGCCCTGGAGGAGTAACTGGTTGACAGTATGGTTAGAAATGTTCAAAATTTGATTTTGAATGAATTTTTGGAATAGGTTAATGAAGCAGGGAACAAAAAGGAAAATAATAATAATAAAGGTAATAGGGGCTAGGAGGGGCAGGAGCCAATTGAAGGGGTAAGGGAACAGATTGTTAGGGGAGTTTTCTAGGAGTTTGGAGGCTTGTTCACAGAGGTGTTTTGCGCCATCCTAGACAAGACTGGAATTGTTGGTGTAGAAGCAGCATTGTTCTTGGAGTAGGGCACATATGCCGCCTTATGCAGTTGTAAGGAGGTCCTGTTTGGTTTGTGGAGTAGATTACTGGAGGATTTGTAGTCTGTGGAGTTGAAGGTGTAAGTGGTCCCATTGGGATGGAGGAGAATTGTGAAGAATGCATTTTTGTGGTCACAGATGGAGAAGTAAGTAGAAGAGATGGGGATAGTGGATAATAAAGTATAGGGGTTAGGGACTACTGGATGGATTGGAATAACAGCTGCACTGATAATTCTTAAATCTTGAACTAGCTTATAAGACCCATTAGGTTTTTTTGATAGCCAGTATCAGGGTGTTGTAAAGGGAACTGGCTGGTTGTAGTAGCCATTTGTATAAAAGTTCCTGGACAATTGGCTGCAGGCCCAGTAAACTCTTGAGGGGCAGTGGATACTGATGTTGAGAGGGAAAAGAGGCTGGATCTTTAAGTCTGATCATTACTAGGGGGCAGGTGGCAAAAGAGGGGATGAGGGTACCCAGACTACAGGGTTGATTAGATGGGGTGGCAGAGGAAAAGGAGAGGAGGTGGGTTTTCAGCGGGTTGGAGGGCGAGTAAAAGTGGGATTGAAGGTGAGTCAGGGTTGAGGTGTGGTCTGGGAGCAAAAGTAATAGAAGCTCCAACCTTGTGTAGTAGGTCTCTTCCCATAAGGGGGATGGGACACTGGGGAATCACCAAAAGAGTGAGAGAGGGCAATGCCTCTAAAGATGCAGTGAAGCATGGGAGTTTGTAAAGGTTAATGAGGTGTGCCCTCTACCCCGACTATAGAGGACTGAGAGGGAGGTAGGTCCCCAAAACTCCTTCAGGACTGAGTAGGTGGCCCCAGTGTCCAACAGGAAAGAGATGGGCCTACCCGCTACCTCAGTGGTTACCCTGGGCTCCTGTATAGTGATGGTAGTGGTCGGGTGGAGGAGTCCCGGGGCCCCTCAATCATCAGTTACCAGACCCAGAAGGTCTATGTGTGCAGTGTTATTGCTGGGTGGCCTGGCACCTCTCGGTGTGTGAGGACAGTCAACAGCCCAGTGTCCCTCCTGATGGCACTTAGGGCATGGACCGGGGGGCTTCTGTGGATTTGGGCAGGCTCTAGCCCAATGACCCATTTGACCACATTTGAAGCGTGGACCAGGAGGTCCTCCTGGCTGCTTCCTAGGAAGTGAGGATACCCAAGCACCAGTGGTTGGGGTAGGTTGAAAGGCCTTAGCCAGCATTCAGTATTTTTGTTTACGGGCCTTTTCATCTCTTCCATTATATACTTTGAAGGCCACTGCCAGGACTTCTGCCTGAGGAGTTCAGGGTCCCTTCTCTAGACGTCTAAGTTTAGCCTTAATGCTGGGGAAACTCTGGGTGAAGAAGTAGGTCATTAATAATTGTCTCCCATCTGGGGTCTCAGGGTGTAGGTTTGTATATTATAAAAGAGCTTTGGTGAGATGGTCTAGGAACATAGAGGGATTCTCATTTTTATCCTGAATAACCTCTTGGGGTTTTTCATAGTTAATGGCTTTATTGGCTGACTTCCTGAGACCCGCCATGAGGCAGGTGATGAATTGATCTTGACTGGTGACTCCCCCTGCCATATTATAGTCCCAATTAGGGTCTTGGTCAGGAACCGCCTCAGCACCAATTGGATGAGCTGGAGTAGTTTGGTGAAGCTCATTAGCATGAGTTCTAGCCTGTTCCCAGACCCACCTATGCTCCTCGGGCAAAAGTGCATTGGATAGGATCATGTGAATATCATGAAAGTTAAGATCATATGACTGAGTTAGGTACTGGAACTCTTTTATGTAAGTAGCTGGGTTGGAGGTGAAAGAGCCTAATCTTTTCTCAATTTGAGATGGGTTGGAGAGAGAGAAAGGGACATGGACCCGGATGACGCCCTCTGTACTGGCTACTTCCCGTAGTGGGGCTACGATCTGGGTTTGAGAGTGAGTGACTGGAGGGCTTGGCATGGGACTGGATGAGGGAAGGGGAACTGGTTGTGGAGGAGGAGGAGGTGCTGCGACTCCTGCAACAGCAGTTAGGGGAGCTGAGAGGGTTGGGATTTTGATCTTGCAGAGAAGGAGGTTGGGGCGGGAGAGGAACTGGTGGTTGAGGAGCTGTAGGGGTTTGAGATTGGTAGGAAAGAGTTATTAGCAGGGTCAAAGTCAGAGGACGTGGTGGGAATTGGTGGGTGGTGGGGTGAAGTTTTTTAGAGTGAGAAGATGTTTAGGATTGCAAGGGAGACAGAGAGCAGGCTTGGTTCGGAGGTAGGAGAAAGCCTGGATATAAGGGATCTCTTTCCATTTGCCCGTGCGCTCACAGAAGTTGTATAATTCGTGGAGAATTTTAGGATCTAAAGAGCCATTGGGAGGCCATTTAGACTTACTGTCCAAGGAATATTGTGGCCAGATCTCATTACAGTAGCAAATAAGCTTAAAAGGTTTGAGGTCTGGAGTGAGGTGGAAGGGTTTGAGATTACTGAGTATGAATAATTCACCCTAGCAGCGAATCTGCGGGAATGGAGAGGCCAGATCCCATGGTGAGAATGAGACCGTTCACAAGTCGCTGAGGTGTCCAGAGCAATTGAGAAGGTCGCAGAGACCAGACATACTTAGGGGGTCATCACCACCTCTAACCAAGCGGTCAAGGCGAAAACGCCGAGGAGGCTCGGTACCTGGTACCAGGAGTTTACGAGTAGATAAAGGGAGACTGGGCCTCAGTGAATGAGGATTCTCACCATGAGGAGGCAGATAAGGGTTGACTATGGGGATCAACCATGACTCTGAAAGTCATGGTTGGGGGTGTCCCTGTCCCAGAGGAGCCCTTGGGGATGCTGGACACTCAACAGTCACTTCCTGGGTTCCAAAGGGACATTTAAGTTGACCATGAAGGGGAGACTCACCAAATTGAGAGCCAGTATTGGGCAAGAAGACGAGCAACTGGGGAAATGGACGGTGAGCCTGTGGAGGAGGATTGGGCA